CAATATTCCTCAGATGAAAGAAGGAAATTCTAGAAACCTCTTTGATCTGGGATTAAGCTGATTGTAAAAGTTTGTTGAAAGTCAAAGAAAAAAAGATATTAAAGTCCTGTGATAAATCAACAGCCAAATATTCAATCCTTGTTTTCCACAGTTAGAAACGCGACACTGACTCCCTGTGAGCTCCAGCTCTGCCGCTCTGAAGCTGACCTTGACATTTAAAAGTGAACACAGTCTGTCAAAGAGCTCCTCATCAGGATCATTAAGCAGAACCCAGTCGTCATGTTTGGGAGGAGCTGAAACCCGAGGAAGCTCCGTGTTTAAAAATGGCTGTCACCACACTTGTATGGAGGAAGTTTGACTGTCCAATCAGTGACAAGTCCCATCTTTAAAAGGATGAGGAGGCGGGCCTATTGGGAGAAAGAGAAACAGATGAGAGTTTAAATGGGAAACCATAGAACATTCCTATCTTATCTTTTAAAGTTTTCTATAATCTGAAAGGTTTCTACTGGCGTGGTTTTTCACTGAAAAGTCGAGGAAAATTTAACTAGAATAAAAAAAACAATCTGAACTTTTCTGTTAACCAATCAGAGACAGGATGTAGTTGTGATTTTGCCGATTGTTTATGATAGAGTTGAAATCTGAAGCGACGGCTCCAGGCTGTTACAGCTTTTAGAGCCATTTTTATTATTGCAGAGCAGCTTTATTCAGTTCTATTCAGTGTATTTCTATAGCAGTCCAGGAAACACAGCCAGACAGACGAGCTCCAACAAGATTCTTGTTATCGTAGTTTTGAGAGGCAGACTGTAAAGCTGGGAGATGTTTGGACGTCACTTGAAGAGTTTCTCAAAGTTCAGGACAGGAGCCTCCACTTTTCATAGATTTATATAATAATAATATAATAATCACAAATAATGAAAATTGTATTTTCTGTGGATGGTACAAGCATTTCTGTTGTGTGTAGACTGAATCCCTTATTCTCAAATCCCTTTTTTTCCAAATCCCTTTTTTTCCGAATCCCTTTTTTTCCGAATCCCTTTTTTTCCGAAGCCCTTATTTCCGAAACCCTTATTTCCGAAACCCTTATTCCCGAATCCTTTATTTCCGAAACCCTTATTTCCGAATCCCTTATTTCCGAATCCCTTATTTCCGAA